AAAACTGAGGATGAGAGAGTTTATGTGGTAAATGTAACTGATAGATGAATGTGTGATTTGAGTCCAGCTCTGTCTTCAAAAGCATGCTGTCTGTATCACTGTTAGTGTTCATATGCTACAGTATGGCACTTTCTTAGGATACCTTTCATAGTCATTATGTTTACCCTACATGTATATTTAGGAATTCCTGATATAGTTGATATAAAGGTGAGCCTGAACCTTCTATCATTTTTCTGTCAAATCTTTGGTAATCGAATCTTCCTCTTCTGAGCATGAGGCTGAGTAATGTCATTCAAAGCAATAGAAAGACAAAGGACAAATGTAATCGAGAAAGTTTATAATGTGAAAGACAATAAAAAATATTTTAAATTAAAAAAAAAAACAATTTAAAATCATGGCTTTATGATTTTTTAAATGTTTTTTCTCCTTAGGAGGAAGGCATTAAAAAAAAAAAATCACCGTATTGAAGTATAATTTGCATACAATGGGCATTGTAGGTCTACAGTTCAATGAGCTTTGACAAATGCATATGTGTGTCACCACCACTCCGATGAACACAGGGACATTACCATCCACCTCACAAGGTTCTTGTGCCCTTTTGTGGTCAAACTGCCCTCCTCCCTCTAGGCAACCACTGACCTGCTTTCTGTCGTCATAGATTAGTTTTGGCTGTTCTAGAACTTCATGTAAACGCAACCACATAATCTGTGCTCTATTGTGTCTGGCTTCCTTCATTCAGCTTAATGTTTTTGAAATTCATTCATTTTGTTATATCTATTAGGAGCTCTGGTAGCGTAGTGCCTAAGGCACTTGACTGCTAACCAGAAGGCTGGTGGTTCAAACCCACCAGCTACTCCTCGGAAGGAAGGTTGGGCAATCTACTTCTGTAGTGATATTGCCTCGGAAAACTAAGGAGGGGTCGTTATGGGTCGGGTCCGACTCCATGGCACATAATAACAACAACAACATCAGGAGTTTATTTTCTTCTTCTTCTTCTTACTAACAGCCCATTGAAGGAGCTCTGGTAGATGTTTGGAAAGTACTGGCTGCTCTGCAGAAGAAAGATAAGGCAGTCTGATTCCATAAAGATTTCCAGCTTTAGAAACCCAATGGTGGTTGGTATGAGTTGGAATTGACACGATGGCAGTGATTTGGACTTTTGGAATCTCCCGTTGTGTAAAGATGCCACAATTTGTTTTCCCATTGACGTGTTGGTAAACACTTGCATTACTTCTAGTTTGAGGCCATTTTGAATATTGCTGCTATAAACCTTTATGTACAAGAGTCAGAGTTGACCAATACAAAGTTTCTTCTTTTGTATCATACCGTACTTTTGGAAGGTAATTTGATTCCTCTCACTGATCATCAGAGGAACAATCACAATATAAACTGGTAGAAGATAGAAAGAACTGACATGATTAAGGAAATTAAACTCTACTGAGTTACTGAATGTTTACAGATCCATTAAAGTCATGATAGAGCATACTGATATGTGGTCCCTGGGGATTGCACACTGTGAATGCATTTGGCTGTTCTGAGGAACCTCAGAAGAAAGGTCTGGTGACCTTCTTCCAAACAATCTGTCCCTGAGAACCCTGGGGGCACAGAGCTACTGACACACAGGGCTCCATGAGTTGGCGTTAACTAGACAGCAATTGAAATACTGGAACATGGAAAATTATTCAAAACAGATTGATGGAATCAGAACACAAAGTTGTAAAAGAAAAAGCAAACTCACTGCCATTAAGTTGAATTTAAGTCATAATGACCCCCCTAGGGTTTTCAAGACTATAAATCTTTACAGAAGCAGATTGCCTCATCTTTCTCCTGCGGAGCACTTGGTGGGTCCAAAATGATGACCTTGGGTCTAGTAGCTCAGTAATTTAACCACTACACCTCCAGAGCCCCAGGGACAGCAACATGGAGATCATTTCCTGTTTTAGACATTGGAAGATGGTTCAAGTACCACATTTGCTGGAAATAGACCATCAGCTTAGCTGCCACCTCCTTTTGGAAAAGTCCCTGTGTTGGGGTTCCTCTAAACTTTTCCTCTTCCACACTCAGTGGAAATTGTCTCTGTGTCCCTACTAACCCCTACCCCCAACCTTGACAGCTGGGAACTCTCCACGGTGTCATCAACATCAGCATTTTGTCCTGCTCAAGGCTTGGTGCTCAGTGGCTTGGGAATGAGATTGAAATATGAGGTTGTAAGTGGGTGACCCCTCTATTGAACCTCAAGAACTCACATATGGCAACATCACTCCACTCCATACTCCTCCTGGCTTTGATCTGTGTAACCCCTTCAATCTAAGGGACCTGCGTTAGGCCTTGACTTAGGGAACTTACCTGCAGCCGGCTTTGGGGAAAAGAAGGAAGGTTTTGTGAAAAGCATTTCCCAAGCACTCACCAGATTGTGTCACAGTCATGACATTGACCCTTGCTGGGTCACAGGGTGCCCGCCCACAGTGTGCTATAAAGGTCGATGAGCCCTCAGGCCCCCAGTCTGCCTGGCTCCAAGTGTCTCCTCTCTCATTATGGCTCTGCCCTGGGTCCTTGCCCTCCTGAGCCTCCTCCCTCTGCTGGACGCCCAGGACCCAGCATGTGCCAACCTGAAGCCAGCACCTATCACCAATGCCACCTTGGAGTGGGTGAGTGCCAGCTCTGCCCTTCATCTGCTGGCTCTTGGTTAGCTCTCTGCTCCCGGCTCTGTCGTGTCCTTTCCCGGGTCCTGGGGTGAAGCTGTGACCTGCTGGGTGGCCTCGGGTGGCATTCCTCTGCCTCCAGACCCAGAAGACCAATTCCAAGGTCCCTGGGCTGGGCCAGTTCTGTGATGGGCATGGGGGTGCTGCCCGGAAGGTTGCCTGATTCATGCTATGAGCCTCTGTCTCCCCACCCACACAATGGAGTGAGAGATTAGCCTAGTCTCCTCCAGCTGACTGCTGCGGATTCAGCCCCAAGCCCCCGTCACCAGCTCCTGGCTTCTCCCCAGATCTCTGGCAAATGGTTTTACATCGCCTCAGTCTTCCGGGAACCCAAGTACAATGCGTCGTCTCAAGAGATACAGGCGGACTTCTTTTACTTTACCCCCAACATGACGGAGGATGTGATCCTACTCAGAGAGTATCAGACCACGTGAGACCCCCATAAGCCAGCCCCCCACTCCCTTCCTGCCCCATCCTCCAGGCATCAGCTTCTGGCTTCCACTCTTAGCATTCCAAGTGCTTTGAGCAAGTCTCTCCCTGGTCCTACACCCGGACATCCCATGCTTGGAGGGAGGAGGGCTGACTGCAATCTCTGCCCAGCTCTTGCCCCTCAGTGATCATGATGGGCGACTGTCCTCTCCTTCCCCCTCTTACTCTTTCTCCCACCTTGGGTCTGACTTTAGCCGAGGCCAGTGCATCTATAACACCAGCAATTTGGAGGTGCAGCGGGAGAATGGGACCTTCTCCAAATATGGTAAGGGCTGGGCCTCAGACTGGAGGTTAAAGTGTAGTGAGGAGAGGACTGTGGGTTGGCTGGCCTGGCTTATAGAGGAGGGCTGGGGATAAGGACCTGGAGGCTTTGGACTGAAAGAACACAGGGAAGGCCCATGGCTCATATCTTCCTGGTACCGGTGCCTACACTCTACAATCATGGTAGTGACAGTTGCCAACATTGTGAGGTCGTCCTGTGTGCAAGGCACTGTTTGAAGTGCTTTACATGAATTAACTGATGGAATGCTCAGATACAGCCCAAAGCTGTTACAATGATCATGCCCAATTTCCAGATGAGGAAACTGTAAAGATGAGGAAAGTAAGAGGCACAGAGAAGTCAAGTAATTTCCTCCAGGTCACACAGCTTGTGAGTAGAACTAGGATTCAAAATCAAGGCTGGCTTCACACCTGCCTCTCTCTTAGCCACCCTTATGGTTCTCTGAAAGCAAAGGGGGCAGCCCATGTGTTGGCCAGTGACTGTCCCCATGTCAATGGCATCACTGCAGAGATGGCACAGAGTAGGGGCACAAAATGCTGACAGAAATGAACTGACCTCACTTAGAGCCTGAGGCTTCTCTTGAGACGTCATTCCCCTCATCTGCAAGGTGGGGACAAAGACTCTGGCATCCACAGTGCATGGGCTCCTATGGTTCCATGTACCTATGCATGTGTGTATGCATGTGTGCTTATCCCATGTAGGTGTTCACATGTGCATGTTTCATGCATGTATTCCATGTGCATTGCACATTCCCTGTGTGTACTATGTGTGTATGGACATACTCCATGTATGTAAGTAGAGTGTTCAGCACAGGGACCAGCACCCAGTAGGAACCAGGGAAGTGGTGGCCCAGGTGAACCCTGGGCCTTCACTGAAGGGCACACTCCTGTTTCCTCATCTGTAAGATGGGGACCATCCCACCCTCCTCACCTCAGAGGGTTTTTTCTGCATCCAGAGTGGGGAACAGAACATATTGCCCACCTGCTGCTCACCAAGGACCCCAAGACCTTCCTGCTTGCCTTCTTGCCAGAACATGAACTGAACAAGGGGCTGTCCTTCTACGGTAAGCACCCTGTCAGCCTCCAACTGCAACCCCACCCAGGCTCACCACCCCTAGGGCTGGGATCCCAGAACTCCAGCCCTACCAGTTTTCCACCTGTGTCCCCCAACATCCTCACCCAGCCTCTGGCTCTCCACTGCAGCTGACAAGCAGGAGGTGACTGAAGAACAACTGAGAGAGTTCTATGATGCCCTCAAGTGCATGGGCCTGCAGAATATGGAGATCCATTACACAGATGGGAAGAAGGTAAATGAAGAGGGCCCAGAGAGGGAAGGCCATCAGCCAAGGATGCACAGCAAAGCAGGGCATTGTACTTTTAAGCTCCTGCTCACTTGCCAGGGCCAGTGGAACATCACGTGGGCCCTTGGTGGTGGGTGAGAGCCACGGGGGAGAAAATCCCACTGCCTTCTAGTTGATTCTAACTCATAGCATCCCTATAGGACAGAGCAGAATTGCCCTATAGGGTTTCTAAGATTATACAACTTTACAGAAGCAGTCTAGCTCATTTTTCTCCCTTGGAGTGGCTGGTGGGTTCAAACCACTGACCTTTTGGTTAGCAGATGAATGTTTTAACCACTACACCAGCAGAGCTCCTTCCAGGGGAAAAGTCACTGTGAAATCAGGGAGGACTCTGGGCAGGAGGGGAGGGTCTGAGAGGCTAACAGGAGGGAAGGCCAGGAGCAAAGGCCTGGTGGTGGGACCCGAGGACCCATATGGGGAGCCCTGGGTGCCACAAATGGTGAAGCGCTCACTGCTAGTCAGAAGGTTGACGGTTCACCACCACCCAGAGGCTCCTCAAAGGACAGGCTGAACTGCCCTTGAGTGGCCACAGCCGTGGAAACCCCACGGAGCAGTTCCACTCTGCACACTTGGGGTCGCCGTGAGTTGGAATCCACTCAGTGACAATGAACAACAACGACCACCCATCCTGAGCTCCGACCCTCTCCTGCTGTCCAACGTGTCCTGGTTCCCTAGTGCCACTCTGACAAGAATATACCACAAATGGGTTGACTGAACAAACAGGAGTTTAGTCTCTTACATTTTGGAGGCTTTAAGTCCAAGTTCACCGTGTCAGGCTCTAGGGGCTGTGTGAAAGCCCTTTGACCTTGGACTTCAGCTCTTGATTCCGGCCCACTAGAGCTAGAGGCATTTCTTCACTCAGGCAGCTACTGGCTGCTGAAGCTAACAAGCCCAAGGTCAACAAATAAAATGGCACAGTCCTGATGTTACCAAACCACATGGCAGGCCATTAATTCAAATCCTTTGAAAGTCCCAAGGTTAGCAGAGCATGGCAAGCTGCTGAACAGTGACACAGCTACATGCAGGGTCCAAGCGTGCCATAAGCTAGGGACAATTCCCAAGACTTCTCCTTATATACAGGAAGCGGACCACATCCCTAAGGCAGTTACTCAGCTGCTCACAGTAGATTCTACCATGGAGTTGATTACCAGTCTCATGGGGATACTACATACAGCTGCCCAGCCACTCAACCAGTAATTTGTCTGCCAACCTGACAGACAAACTTAACTACCGTACAACGCTGTGTCCACAGGGATTGGGACTGTGGCTTCAGAGCCACCCAAACTGCAGCAAGTCCAGGGCCACCGCCCCAATTTTGTGCAGCTGAGACTTGCCTGTTTAAGCAGTGCCTCCACGCTTCTCTTTAAACCTGTGTTAATTGAGAGGGTTCCTTGGTCTCTTGCTCTGTAGGGATTCATGTCTGTGAAATCACAGAGCTGATGAGCTGGTCACACGCTTGGACATACATGAAACACACTCATAACTATAAACTACAAAGGTCTCTTCAGTTTGCCATTGGAGGTCATCTCACGTGACCAGCAGTGGTTTGAACCCCTCTCCCTTCACTGGGAACCCTGGGAAAGGACTATAAACTCAGGTACCAAGTCAGACCCCTTGGTTGCAATCTTCCCTCCCTTGTCTGAGTAGGTGACCTCAGGCAGGTCATGTGGCTGCTCTGAGCCTCAGTTTCATCATCTGTAAAGTGGTGGGGGTGGTGAGGAATCCAGGGGGGCCTGGCAGGTCCTAAGAGCACAGTACATGTCAGTGGTTCTTAAGGGTTTGAGCCTCCATTGTAGTGATGAATAAGCTGAGGCTGAGAGAGGAAATGTCACTTTCCCAAGGTCACCAAACCAGGGACTGGCAGAGCCAGGGTTAGGATCCCTCACAGGGCTGGTTACAGCTCAGCTATTCTTTTCCCCATGCTCTCTTCCAGGACCAGTGTGGGCCACTGGAGAAGCAACACGAGGAAGAGAGGAAGAAGGAAAACAAGGGGTCCTGAGTGGACACAGAGTTGTTCTTGGACCTCGGGGACTTTTGGGACCCATCCCCATCCTCCCACCAGCCCTTTGTATCTGTTGCATTGCAGTTGCATCAATTCTATATTTGGAACAGGCTGGTCAGTTGTCTCTTGTTCACTCTTTAGTTCATTCATTCATGTTAAAGCTGCCCTGAGTGCAGCCCGGCCTGGGAAGAGCCCCTGTGTAATACCAGCACACAAGCCAAGGTGCATGATGAGACACTCCAGGTGCCAGGGGAGCTCAGAGCAAGGACGTTTTCTTCTGCAGTGGCAATGTCTGGGAAGCTTTCCTGAACGGTTAGGAGCTAGAGAAAATCTGCTGTCCCCTCTGCAAATCAAGCCCCAGGAGGACACATTGGAGGACACTGAGGTCTAGGGTCCTAATTGGAGTGAGGTAGATAAGGGGTGGTGAGATTCAGACATGTGACATGAGCAGGGAGGACTTTATTTGAAACACAGGAGGCAGATGAGGAGGAGCCAGACCAAGACAGGAAGACCCATGTGGAGCTTGCTGTGGACTTCCTGGAAGAGGTGGTGGTCTGGTTCAGGGCAAAGCAGGGGTGAGGCAGAGGACTCAGGGACAATTCATGTGTCTGGGTGACTCCTTAGTGCCCACCTGAGAAAAAGAATGACACTTAGGGTAAGGCTGATCTCTAGGAACCAAGTGACACCTTGCAAATGTGTTTTGAGCCCTTGGGATGGGGCCATGTCTTAGGCAAATCCCATTTTATGGCTTAAGTAGCACCTGAAGCCAGGATCCCAGCAAGGAAGGGCCAGCTTCCTTCTAGAGCAGAGGGGCTCATGACTTATGGCTTCTTGTATCTGAGGGAAGAAACACCACTCCAGCAGCAGAAAAGCGGGTGCTGAATTTTGTTGACAATTGTTAGTGCAGCTGCCTAAACCATCTACAGAGTGACAGACGGTAACTTGGTGTTAACTCCCAGTTCTGTGCCCTCACACACCAAAGCCCTTCTTGCCACCCCTCCCAAGAGCCATGCTCCACATGCCCAACTCCAACCTCCTTCACCAAGCAGACGAAACCACTGCTGTGCCTCGGACACTGAGACACCCCACCTCGGGCCCCCTTCCCCATGCTGATATCCTCAGAACATCAGCAGAGAGAACAGCTCCTTGGACTTCAAAAAGGTCTGTATGTAGAAGCTCAGGGCCTACAAGAAATCCTTCCATTACAGAAGATGCCATTTTCAACTCTACTGAGCAGGATCAGCTGAAAAATGGAATAGAAAGGGCCCTGGTTGGGGGCAGGGGGTAGGGGAACTACGGGAGCCTACAGGGTCACTGTGGCCTCAGCTGATTCCTGTTCTGGGGGCAGCAGTGGGCTTCCTGTCCCACCTGCCCATTCATCCATCTCTGCACCTCAAGTCACGTCAGAAGAGGCAGGAGCCCCGCAGGCTGCGGGCCTGGCGAAGGTCGGCTGACAGGGAGCGGCTCATCTCCTTGGTGGTGAAGCGGACGCTCTCGGCAGCCTGCACAGCTCGGTTCAGCGC